AAAGTAACCTTGTCCTCATGCAGCTTATATTCTGATATTCAAACCAAATACTCAAAAAGGACAGTTAAACTCCCAAATAAAGGTATAAAGTTAGAGCAGACAAGCTTGGCTATGAAGCACCCAGGAAACAGGGTCAGGAGTTAAACAACAATTTGTTTTATATTTAATAAGGATTCCTTTCTTTCCTTTGATTAGCAAATAAACCCAAGGAGTTGTGTGGAACAAGTATCATTATCACCATCCCTTTCAGATTTTGAAGCAGACTGTCATAAAAGTAATTTTCCAAAATTAATAAATGGCAGTAGAGAGGCAAAGCTCACCCCAGATCCTCTGATGCCTCTCTTCTGCCTTTCTCATGGGCCATACAAGAAACACAAAGTAGACTAACTTAGGGCAAAAGATGGAGCTTTATTTGCTGTTTTAAACAATGAAGAGTCAATAAGAAACTGTAGGAATTACCCTTTCTTGATGGTAATGCTTCTGACACTGAAAGAAGCGAAGACCACTGTGTTTTCCTATAAACTATCTCCGCAGGCAAGTGCTAATATTTCTGTCAAGAGACTAAAACTTAATAATAATGCATGGGGTATTAAATTAGAGACATTTTGTTAACCTGAAGAGTAAGTCTTAGTGTCCTTCCTTAGCACCAGAATGTTTTGGAAGATACTTATGAAGCCCACCACCTAACAGTAAAAACGAGACAGTCAAAATAAGAATCACAATTAGTGGAAAGAAAACTCTTCTCTTTGCAGATGCTGGACCACTGTCAATACTACCCCCATAACCTCTGTGCAGGCAGTACGGCGGGGACCACCCATAGCTGCAGTGGCAGTGATGTTTATTATTGCAGACCCCCTTCATGTTGCAGGTTTCAGGCAAGCAGACTTGTGACAGGAGAGACAGGCTGACACAATTTTTGTGTATACAGATCTTTCCTGGACCACACACTGTGCCATCTTTCACTTCTCCAACATCAGGCTTGTCCATCCCTAAATGATAGTCAATACTCCAGCAGGTGACACCATTGACAAGAGTGTGCTGCAAAGTAGAATGCTTATGCAGGTGGGGAATTTCTCTCACGTTTTCACACTGAACTCTCCCACAAAAGATATTAGAGGTATTACATTTTAGGTATGTTGTGCCACTTAAACCACAATGGCCAAAACGGTTTCCCTTGGAGTTGACCTCTTTGTAGCAAGTTTGAGATGCACTCCTTGCACCTTTGCCAAAAATCTCCCTACACTGTTTGTCATGGTTATTGCATCTCTTTTGATAGCAGTAGGCACTGCCACTACAGGGCATCCCATCCTGTACATATTTATCTTCTGGGCACTGATGGGATGTCCCATTGCACCACTCTGGAAGATCACATTCACCGACCTGCTGTCTACAAAGTCTCCCTGATGGCAGGAACTTGCAGTCTTTGCAACAAAGCCCAAATGCACAGGTAGCCCCAGGACTCAGAGTGCAGTTCGACAGACAACAGGGATCTTGTTCACACTGTTGTATAGATCCACAGTCACACTTCTCTTCTCCTTCAACTACATAATTCCCACAGCGCTTCAGCATAAAGAATTCCCCTGGTCTTGGAAAATTGTGGAGACATGATCCCTGGTTTAAAGTGGTCTTCCTAAACTGAGCATAACTGCAGTTGGTGAATCTCTTTGCTGTCACCCTGACAGTGTTCATGATGCAACCACTTTGCTCACACAAACAGAATTCCTCATCGTGCTGCATACCTAAAGTATGTCCCAACTCATGGGCCACAGTGAGGGCAAAAAGAGACCAGGGGTCTCCCCGGAAACTATTTACTCCACAATCAATAGGAGGATGACATATCCCTGCAACATATGCTAAACCAAGTACATTTTTAAATGAATATTTTATGAAAAGATGTGCAGCATCATGTTGCAGCCCGGAAAGGCTGATTTGTTTCCAATGAGAGAAATCCTCCAGAACTTGTTCTATACTTATTATTGGAAAAACATTTTCTTGATTCCAAATAACAATCCCCATCAAAATCACATAAGTACTCAACTGCTGATAAATGGAATCCACTATATTGACAACAAGCAATACATTCTCCTGAACCTTTGACAAGTTGCTTTTAGAGTAAATGAAGAAATCATTGTCTACTACCACAGCCAGCTCCAGAAACCATGAATGGGTCCACCTGTCATCAACAGAATTTTGTTTCAAAGTTAAGTTCTCAGCCTCTGCATATGCCAACTGTTGGCGTGCTATTTCCTCTTCTGTTAAACCACATCTCAGGGCTGAGAATTGTGTCACATCACTGTTTATCTTGTAAACTAGATGCTCAAATGTGGTAGAGTGCCTTTTGGGTTTGATTTCATAAGTGAGGTCATTTATTTGTAACACTCCTTGAAAGCCCCCAAAGCAAGCACTAAAAGCAACCAGAGACTCAGAGACCCCCTCCACATAACCATGATAGTAGCAATCATCCTGGACAAAGGGCTGATCCTCGAGGAGAGCATGTTGGTCTGTGTAGGTGAGCACTGGGAGGTGGCTGGAAACTAAGAGCTTCTTCACCTTCATGTGGACAATGTGTTTCTGGCCTCCAAAGCGCAGGCTGTAGGAAAGCCAGCCTGGAACTTTTGTGCCTCCACCCCTGCTGGTTACCTTCCAAGGAATTACCACTTCTGGGTTGCTGAGGTGTTGGTAAGGCCCAGCCTGGGAGAGGTCAGAAAGTGACAGAGACACCCCAAGCCACAGTAACAGGAGAGCAGCTCTCAAGTACACCCCAGCCTCACCATCCGCCATTATGGAGCCATCTGTCCAGAGAAAAAGAGGGCAGGGTGTGAGGTACGGTGGTCTGGCTCCTCCCTCTGAGCTGCTCAGTATGCAGGGCTGACTTTTATGGATCTATATCCTGGCAGAATTGGACCATCAAAGCTGCAGCGCTGAAAGTGAAAATGAAAAAGGTGGGAATGGTGGTGGGATTGAGGAAGGCAGGTGAGAAAGACAAAGCATCAAGTGGGGTAAAAGTTATTCATGAATCAAGAAAAAGCTTTGGCTTTGCTTCAATAAATGGACGTGGAGAATTAATGAGTATATAGGTGAGACATGTGTTGATAATTTTTGGACAAGGAATACTTTGGTATTAAGTATACAATTATCTCAGTTAATGTGGTATACAAATGTCCATTGTACAAAAGCTTAAATAAAACTAAAGAGACTTAGGAGCAGGGTGAAACTATATCCCAATTTGTCCAAGATCGTATCGGTTGATGCCTATTGTCCTTGCATAACTACTGATACTGCCTTCTTTTACTGTCAAAACTGGAAACACCAAGAACAACTACAACAATTATTTTGTCAATATACACTGATCTTATGATTTATTTTAGATTTTCATTATTTACTTTACTCTTTCCTGTATTTGCCTTTAGGGAGCTCTGGTGGCACAGGGCCTAAGGCATTTGACTGCTAACCAGAGGTTGACCATTCAAACCCGCCAGCCACTCTGTGAAAGGAAAATGGGGCAATCTACTTCCATAAAGATTTATCACCTTGGAAACCCAACGGAGGATGGTATGAGTCGGAATCAACCTGATGGCAGTGAGTTTTTGTTTTTTGGGAGTATTTGTCTTTACTCATAACCCTATTAGATTGCAAATGCAGGGTTTATGATGTGAACTTATTTTTCTCATCATTGCCATCAGGTTGATTCTGACTCATGATGATTCCATGTGCTTCATATTAGAACTGTGCTCCATAGGGTTTTCGATAGCTGTAATCTTATGAAAGTTGATCATCAGGGCTTTCTTTCATGGCAACACCGGGTGGATTCAAACTGCCAACTTTGTGGTTAAGTAAAATGTAAATTGCTTGCACCACCCAGGGACCTTAACTCATTTTAACTTCCCCTATAAATCCTAGTCTCTGGAGATGGTGCAAACACATTTGGCTGTTAACTTAAAGGTGGGTGGTTTGAGATCAGACTACTTCCAGTAAGATGGAGGAATAGGCAGACTAGCAACACAGACCCTCTTCAAAAAAGAAAAGAAAAACCAATTGACAGAGATACAAAAAATAATCCTGGAGCCCTGAGCTTTGAAAGGAACTCGACAGAAGTGGATTAGGCACCAACTAGTGGAAAAACATGAACGAAAACAATGAGTACAGAGATGGTCAGAGCTACGACTGTCAGCTTCTCTGACAAGACCAACAGCCTGAATATTTCCAAGTGGTGTTGGGACCTGAGAATTGACCTAAAGATCAGCCCTGGTCACCAAGGGCTGCAGGGATGACTGTGCTGGTGGCCTATGATTAGGAAAGGAAACAGCAAGGAAGGAGACAACCTGAGCTGTTGGAATTTGCACTGTCCAGAAGGTGCGGCCATTTTGATTATTTACACATGGCAGCCATTTTGGATATTTAAAGTGATCGAGGCTGTAGCCATTTTGAATGTTTATAAGCGGCAGCCATTTTGGATACTTAAAGTGACTGAGGGCAGAGCCATTTTGAATGTTTACAAGAGGTGGCCATTTTGGACATTTAAAGTGATCGAGAGGATAGCCATTTTGAATCTTTACAAGTGGCAACCATTTTGGATTTTAAAGTGACAGCATTCTCATTTGGATTCCAGGGACCTAAGAATAGACTCTGTTTGCCAAGATCGCAGGGACATACAAGAGGCTGACAACAGCAAAGGAAGCAGGTGGTGAGTGTATAAATGCTGCCAACTAGAGAACAGAGGAGCACAGCATAGTACCCTGCTTGCATAGAAACATACAAACAAAACAAAAAAAAA